AACCCCCTAAACCCCTAACCCCTACACCCTTAACTGCGTCTTTGGGATCCGAAGGTCCCCGACGATGACCTTCGCACGGAGGAGCCCTTCGCCTTCGAAGTCGTCCATGGGAAGGCGGAGCTCTGGGTAGTTTAGGGTTTAGGGTTTAGGGTTTAGGGTTTAGGGTTTAGGGGTTTAGGGTTTTGGGAGGGTTTCAGGGTTTAGGGTTTAGGGTTTTGGGTTTAGGGCCCTTAAGGGGTTTGAGGGTTTAGGGGTTTAGGGATTCAGAGGTTCAGGGTTAAGGGCTTGGGGTTGAGAATTTAGGGTTTAGGGTTGAGGGTTTTCGGGTTTCGGGGTTAGAAGAATAAGGCATGTAGATTTCGGGGCTTCGGGGGTTAAGGGTTCAGAGAATCTAATACCCCAAGGTTTTGGAACCGTTAGTGGCCATGGGCGCAGGACTTTACAGGAATTTGATTTCGAATTGCTTTTAAAGGTCCTGGCTGACAAGCTTCAGCTCAAAATGTGTGTGTTTCCCGTGCTTGCGGACCCGTGATTAAGTGATGCTGTCATAAAGATGAAGATGTTGGCGGTGGACAAAGCTTTGCACTATCAATTTCCCATAGCTGGCACGCAAAGCGGGCTTTCCTCTTTGTGTTGGCCTTGTACCATGCCAAGTGCTGCTTTCCTGGGTTTTACGATATTACGGACACCCCAATGCAGATCCCTCATGTATCTCTAGACGACCCATAAACACCCCGTACAACCATCATGAGACCATAGAAGCCTTTCAGAACTAGGTCGTGGAAGAATTCTATAAGCTGAAGACAGCCGCCCAAGCTACCAGTGATGGCAGCCAGGACCTTCTCGGCACCCAGGTGAAGGTGCAAGAGCTTTTGTTTAGGGATTTGAGGGTTCAGGGGGGTTAGGTTGTACTAAAGGATTACGGTTGTCAGGGTTTCGTGCTTTCTTGGTTAGGGTCTTGGGGGCGACCTGAATACACGCAAGTAGTGAGCACGTGCGTGGGCACTACCGAGGGCACCTTGCCATCATGGCCTAAGGGTTTCGGGATGTGATGCCCAAAAACGATGCACTTGCTGCAATATGTGAACCAAACAAGTTGCATGAAGCTGGGCGCTTTGGGGTATTACAGCATGTTTGCTGGCGCAAGTCAATTCGTGGATGGGCTCTCTAGACATGGGGGTGGGTCTAATCTTCCCAAACCTGAAAATCTGGATTCTTGCTCTAGTTCGAACGTGAGATTCAGGAATGCTGACATGTTTTCTGCTTCTGTGCCAAAAGATGTTCGATACTAAGCCCAAAACCCTAGACCTAAAGCTTTAAACCCTAAATTAAAGCCAAGACCGAAAAAAACCCTAAACCTTAAAC